CGAAGCTTCAGTGTTAGAACGAAAAGGGGGGAAAAGAGAAAGAATAAAAAGAAGAGGAAAAAAAGTTTCTCTAATGAATCGAGGAACAGCAAACTCGGGCAAAAGAAGAAAGGCCAAAATATTCTCGAACGAATGGAAATGGAGAGTTGTGGGGGAGGAGAGGGAACAGGACCAAGATCATTAATCACGGGGGGCATGGAAGGCAACAGGATTAAAAATGCGTATTTAAGAATTGTTTGCCGAAACTCCGCAATATCCAATTTGTTCGAGCAAAACATGCTCAGCGGAAGAAGCCTTTGTTCTTGACTTCGGCTGCAAACATTCCTTTCTGGGACATGAATACAAGAGAGGAAGTCTATAGTTTTTTTCCTGGTCTATCAGGAATTTTTTTCTTTTGAAGTGACATGAAAATCAGAGAATTATTCAAGTTTTTACTCAGGGAATTATATATATGTTTCATTTCTATAATCGGACCAATGGTGTGTTTTAAGCAATAAAAATGATACTACAAATACGCATTAAGCTCACAATGGACTCAATACAGTGAAAATAGTTTAACACAAAATTGAAGGGACTGAAATACTTTTTCGTGTTAAAAGAATTTCGTATTAAAGGATGTTAAAAAAACCTATATTCAAAAAAATAAATAAGTCTATTACTATTAGAGTACATTTTATTTACATAGATATGTATATATAAATGTAATAAAAATCAACAAAACAAAAATATTCACAATATTGATACAAAATTTTCAAGCCTTTTGAAAAGCAAAACATTCATTGAGTTTTTGGAAAATTATCTGATATTTTTCTATCTTCAGTAGAACGTCGTTTATCTGAATGTTTATTATCCGAAGCGTCAAATATCCACACCAGCTTTTTTTTTGTCCATTGGTGCAACCAATGGACCAAGGAGTTATTGAAAAGCTCAAGAGAATTTATAGGAAACAAGTTTTGCGGAGGTTACTTTAGGCAGAAAACGACGAAGAAAGTGTTGCTACTTTTGCTGAAAAGCTCAATATGAAGGACCCCTGCTACATGTTAGCCGAAGCGGGGGACTCGCTCGAAAGACAGAGCCTGAAAAATGCATGGAAAAAGCTGTGGCCAGATTTAGAAGGAGAAAAAAACTTCAATGACGACCACAGGGAGGAGATTACCGACTTTTGTCCAATCGATTGCAGGATTTCAAGAATGTGATGAAGATGTAGAAACCTGGATGGCATACGATGCAGGAGATTTCAAATGCTAAATGATGACAAGATTGTGACTTCCGTGCAAAAAGAATCCGACCCTGTCGACGATGAAACGGATGAAGACGAGAACAACAACGGAAGTAGCAAGGGTCTATCAAATGCTGACGCGTTTTCTGAGTTGGAGACAGCTATGGAATGGTATGAACAACAATCAGAGCCCTGTCCTACTCACCTACTGCTGCTCAAGAGAATCAGAGGCATTGCAGCGAAGAAACGAAGGTGCACAATGGTACAGCGAAAAATACGTGATTATTTTCCACAAAAAAGGTAAAGTTGCGATATTTTGCACTTATTTTGCTTTTCTTCAAGCACGTTTCCCGCACATGTGATGATTTTCAATATTCGTATAGTGTCCGGTTTCATATACTGCATGGATCGCATTCGGTTTCCGGTTATCCGTACGCTATCCGGTCCCAATCGATTCGGATAAACAACATTCTACTGTCTGGGGGTCTGGAAACCTCCAAAGTCCTTGATTTCTTCCCGATTGATTATAATTCCAAGTATATAGTACGTAAAATTTAATTATTTGTTATTAATGATTAATTTTATTAATTTATGCTTAATTATTTATTCAAAAATTAGATTTTTACTGTGTTTTGTTCCCGAAAATCCACAAAATCAAAAGGAGCATGATGCAAGAAGGGTGAACTTTCGACCCCGGACCCCCTCCCCTTGAAAAATTCTTGTGTGTGCTGTAAATTACATAACTTTCACTAGCAACTTTCTCCCCATCACAATAGACATTTCTTTCACCCAAACAATGTACGGTGTTAGTTATTCAAAAGAGGACAGGGGTAATAAGAGTTTTTGGTAGGTATATAGCCACAGAAGATGTTTTATTTTAGTCTTAAGTGCAGTTGCTATGAGTTATAAAATAAACGCTTGTGATCCTCACCATCAGTAGACGCTTTTTCGCAGAAATTGGTACGCTGAAATGGGGGATTCTCTCTATTACACTTTACTCGGAGAAACTCACTAATTTTTTTCGGCCTCACGCTTCGATTTTCTGCAGTTCCTCTACCTTCACAATCGGATTACTATCAGTGGATTTTGTAAAATGTTTTTCCCGATCTGAATTCCCACAAAAGGTCGCATCTTCCTGTAATTCCGCGATCAGTCACTAAGCTACTTTGATTAACTCATTGTCTCACAAACGCATAAATATGATCTGACCAAAGCACTTCCAACCTAACTATAACTTTCAATTACGCATGAAGTTATGTCATCTGCTATAGATCCACTTCATTAGGAGGCAACTGGAATTTTTTTAGCCAGATTGCGAGTATTAAGCCTTTCTCTCTGATGCCGTTGGTTGAGTTCGAATAACAGTCAGAGATGGAGATAGTACTTATGTTTATATTACAAGAAAATAAATATTTACAGTTAAAGTTTACACTAAAAGGTGATAATGCGGTTAAATGAAAATTACACTTTTGAAGGTGCTGCGGATAGATGCAGACAAGACCTTGCGTCTTTCCGTAGCGTTTCAGTTTACAGAATGTCCCGGTACGGGGTTCCAAAAAGTTTCCGTTGGGGTAGGAAAGCGGGAAAGTCTCGCGCACTCAGTTACAGTTAAGTGAGGAGTGGAAAGTCTGGCGCCCTCAGTTACAGTTAAGTGAGGAGTGTAGGAAACACTCTCTTTATACGAATATATGTTTCGATACGTGCGTGTTTCGATATTTATACGTATAGCTTCGATAGTGTGGTAATTCTTTATTTACTGATGATTATATCTAGATGGTTGATGTGAATATGGTTGCATTGATGAGGCATCCTTTTGTTTTAGGATAATCCAATTTTTCTTTACATTTAGACACACAAATAAACATCTGTACTAAGCGAAACAAATAGCACATATAAGCAGCAACAGTCATTAACGGAACATTGTGACAAATACAAGGCCCTGCGTCACTTTTCCACAGAATCTTGAATTTTATACAAAACACAGACCGGAAGTTCAAAAACTCACATGACTTCCGAAGACGTTTCTTCTGATTAGTTCAGACAGTCGAATGAGATTCATTATGTAATTCTTAATTTAAATACGTTGAACTTTTAATTTCAAGGAGATAAAGCTACGATTATATACCTTCATGCGGGTAATTAACAGTTACTTAATACGTGGCTTAGGACCCCATTACAAATTAAAAGACTTGAAAGATGACATTAAAGTAAATCATTACATATATATATATATATATATATATATATACATTATACTATATATATATTATACACATATATATATATTATACATACATATATATATATATATATATATATATATATATATATATATATATATATATATATTATACATATATATTACATACAGTGGCCCAAACAGGAAACTTTCCGAGATGGGGTCCAAGATCGAAAGTCCATCCTTCTCTATCATGCTCCAATACGCCATCCAACATATTCTTTTGATTTTGTCGATTTTCGGTAACAAAAAACAGTAAAAAATTAATTGCAAAATAAATAATTAGCATTAATCAATAAAATTAATTATTAACGTACTTAATTGAATTTTACATGCTACATACATAGAATCATAATCAAAGAAAAAAAATCAAGAGATATGAGGGAGCTAAACCCTTCTCTGCGCCACTGATTATATATATTAATAACACAAATCAATCAGAAATGACGTAATTTTACATCATTAACAACTGTCAAATCGATTTCAAAACTACATTCAGAGGTGGATTACCCAATAGAGGCTTAAGAATTTTCGAAATGTCTTTCGAAATAACCTGCAGAATCGAGATCTGACGTAATATCATGTCAAAAATAGATTTCAAGGGCATTTCTATTGATATTTTTTCCCGAGGCAACTATTCCTTGTCTATTTATATTTCCGTAGAAAACGTTACTTAACGATCCCCCTTTTCTCAAGCATTGATGAGCAAATTCTCATTTACCACTAGAGAAAGAGACATTGAATGACGAAATTAGATTTTTTTCAAACTTAAAATGTGGAACCTTTTCCATAGGGTCTGTCGTACGTAACCTTCATTAGGCTTTTGTGGTGTGGCATCGCTCAAAGATCCATCGGGACACGGACAAAAGCTCATTAAGAACGTTGTTTACGAGTGAAGGGCTGTAATCAAAGACCTCCCCTCCCAAAGGCCAACAAGGCTGTTCGGTAATCTCCGATCCCTCCTCCCCTTTATCGAACTCCTATTGAAGTTTTTTTAGGGATGTTATCCTCTTTGAGCAGCTCCCGTGACCGTGAAAATGAGTAGAAGGGATCTTTTCTGTGAAAGATATTCCGGAAAATTGGGTCTTATTTTAGAAACTATAGGTTGCAGAAATAAGTTTCAAATCAACACTCAAGGTTAATGTGTTATGTAATTACTGTGTTATATATAACTTTATATTCTGTATTCAAAACTGATATTATTTTAGCGCTTATCGCTATATTTCTGAAATTTATAGTTTTATTAGTACTGAGAAATGAATAAAAATCAAGTGTACTTTGTGATGTCATAAACTATAACAAGTAAGATAATTTTTTTATTAAATAATTACAAGTATTATAAGTATGTATATACATATGAAAGAATCACAATATTAAGTGACGAAATAGAAAGCGTTTTGCTTTGCAATTTTCCATTTTCCTTCCTATATAGGGTGTTGGGACTATTTTTGTTTATTTGTTATTATTTATTCACGAATTAAATTTAATTCTAATAAAATAGTATAGTAAAAAGGAAATCACATATTTTCTCAGAATGTAGGCCATTCCAGGTGGGATTCGAGCACACAACCTTTGGATTAAAAGTCCAACGCGCTATCCATTACGCTACAGGGGTAGAGCGAAGCATTAACCTTTCTATATATGTTGTTGAACTATTATTATTTGTTTCTATTTATTTATTTTAAAATTTAATTAATGAATTAATATCCAAAAAAACTGCATTAACATCAGGTGTCATCCACTACAAGTATTAAAAAAATGTATTTGAACTTGAGTGAATGAATAAAAATGATTTTATTGACGACTGAAAATTTGAACATGATATATACATCTATATACTGGTGTGCAAAAATTAAGGACGAGACGGTTTTTTCAATATAACTTTGTACAAAAGCTTTCCAAATCAACACATTTAATACCGTAAGAGCCCCAATACGTAAGGACATCTGTAATGTAAGCAACACTTACTAAAAGAGAAATCAGAGGGATAAAAAGAAGCTTGATTGAAAAAGTAGCATGGAGCGCAATGCGACTGAAGGCCGAAACATCCCTGTGATGGGTGTCCAGCAAGAAACATCCGGTCTTTAGTAGGGGATATGATCTCCCCTGACTGCTAGGCAGGTTTCACAGCGTCTGCCCATGCTGAGAATGAGGGTGTCAATGAGTTGTTGAGGCATTGCTGCCCATTCGTCTTGCAGCGCCAATCGAAGCTCCCGAATCGTTACTGGTGGTAAGGTACGAGCTGCCAAGCGTCTGCCTAGAAAATCCAATACATGCTCGATGGGATTGAGATCCGGAGATCGTGCCGGCCAATCCATACGTTCAATATCCTCACTCTCTAAGAGCTGTTCGGCAGCTACTGTGCGATGACATGGTGCATTGTCGTCCATGAAAAGGGGAACTGCAGACCCATAGCGCCTCTAAAAAGACGCACATATGGAAGAAGAATCTCGTTACAATAACGGGTCCCGTTGACTGAACCTGCGTCGAAGATGTGAAGGTCTGTACGACTAGCAAGCATGATGCCTCCCCAAAGGAGAACACCGCGACCTCCATACCTGTCCCTTTCAATGATGTTCGAGGAATGATTGCGGCTTCCCCGCTCTCTCCAGATGAGTATGCGATGAGAATCGCTACTCAAACTGAATCTGCTCTCACTGTAAAGAGTACTCGTCCTCATTCATTGTCTCTCCAATTCCGGTGTTCCCGGCACCACAGAGAACGCCTTCTCCGATGGGCAGGCGTTAAAGGTACACACCGTACAGGGCGTCGTGCAAACAGACCACCACGGTAAAACGCGATATAGGTCGTCCAGTCGCCTGTGTCGTGTGTCTAGCGATTTCTAACGCTGTCTGCCGTCTGTTTCTTCTGGCCTGTAAGACAATGTACCGGTCATCTGCGGGTGTGGTTCCTCGTGGACGACCACTACTGAACCCCTGGATAGCTGTTCCTGTAGTTTGAAATTGTCTCCACAGTCGTGAAACGATGCTGTGAGCAATTCCGAACTCTGCAGCCACACTTGTCACACTGCAGCCTTCCTCCAACTTCCCAATGATTCGACCTCGGGTAAAAGCATCCAGATGTCGTCTAACCGATTGATTATTCGCCATTTCTCGCTGAGGCAGCAACTCGGTGTGATTTTAACTGCTATACGGCGTGCAATCTCTTTGACAGAAATACTGATCTTACACCGACAACATGCTTTATACTACTCAGACACTCCCCCGTTACGTCTACCTGCATATCTACGCATGTGCTACCGTACATCACCTTACTTAATCTCCTGATTGGTCTTTCTGTCCGCTCTGCCTCTTCGTTCTGCTGATATGCTAATTTTTCGACTTCGTCCTTAATTTTTGCACACTAGTGTAATTCTCATAAACAGCAATAAAAGATAATTTTTTAAAAATCATATAAAAAAACCAAAAGAAAAAAAAAAAAATTCCAATATATAAACTCTTCACTTCAATAAAAAGCGAATAACGATGTATTATCTCTTCTCTCTTACTACAGATCTCCTGATGGACCATTTGGGGAAACGATAAAAACAAAGTAACAGAAATTTTTAAGAGCGTCATTTGAATGCTATCAAACTTATCTACAGACAATCTCCTTGACGGACTACGCACAATGACAAGTGAGTTACAAAAGAACAAAGAACCACTTTATCTTCTGAATGACTGAATTTGTCTACGCATCTGGTCATTAACATTGTCTTGCTTCAGTACTACACAACAAAATTTTAATCCGAGACATCATTTACTGGGTAGAAAAATCCATATGTAAAAATGGTTATGACAAATAGGGCCCTTTGTCATTGCAAATGCTTAAAACTTAAAAATGTTTTACGCGCGAATCCTTTATATTTGTATTTAACATAATGCTTTAGGTCAGTGTTTCTCAAACTGTGGGGCGCGAGCTTATTGAAAAGTCGAAATTTAAAGAAATTATTAATTTAACTGAAGGTAAACACACACAAAATACATTCTAACAATATAAACTATAAATTACACTTATAAATATCCGAGTACTGTACAATGTATTTTATAATTAATTTAACAATTTAAAAACAAGTTTGATAATCATCAGTTACCTCATGGGCTTGTTTTAACACTTATATTGATAATTTGTACGGTTTATAATTAATCCCTAAACTGCCCATTAAAAGTTATGCGATTCGTTTCCCAATGCCATTGCTTTCATGTAGATACACGTATGGGATGTTTTTATTTGGGGGAGGAATATATACATATGAGCCAGTGGCACACACAGGAATTTTCAAGGGGAGTGGGGGTCCGTGGTCGAAAGTTCACCATTCTTGTATCATGCTCCTTTTGATTTTGGCGATTTTCGGGAACAAAACACAGTAAAAAACTAATAATTGAATAAATAATTAGCAATTATTGAATAAATAATTAGCATTAATTAATAAAATTAATCATTAATAAAAATACTTAATTAAATTTTACGTACTATGTACTTAGAATTATAATCAATCCTCCATACCTGTTCCTTTCAATGATGTTCGAGGGATGATTGCGGCTTCCCCGCTCTCTCCAGATGAGTATGCGAGGAGAATCGCTACTCAAACTGAATATGCTCTCATCTGTAAAGAGTACTCGTCCCCATTCATTGTCTCTCAATTCCGGTGTTCCCGGCACCACAGAGAACGCCTTCTCCGATGGGCAGGCGTTAAAGGTAAACACCGTACAGGGCGTCGTGCAAACAGACCACCACCGTGCAGTCTTCTGGCCATGGTAAAACGCGATATCGGTCGTCCAGTCGCCTGTGTGTCTAGCGATTTCTCCCGCTGTCTGCCGCCTGTTTCTTCTGGCCTGTAAGACAATGTACCGGTCATCTGCGGGTGTGGTTCCTCGTGGACGACCACTACTGAACCCCTGGATAGCTGTTCCTGTAGTTTGAAATTGTCTCCAAAGTCGTGAAACGATGCTGTGAGCAATTCCGAACTCTGCAGCCACACTTGTCACACTGCGGCCTTCCTCCAACTTCTCCCAATGATTCGACCTCGGGTAAAAGCATCCAGATGTCGTCTAACAGATTGATTATTTGCCATTTCTCGCTGAGGCAGCAACTCGGTGTGATTTTAACTGCTATACGGCGTGCAATCTCTTTGCCAGAAATACTGATCTTACACCGACATCATGCTTTATACTACTCAGACACTCCCCCATTACATCTACCTGCATATCTGCGCATGTGCTACCGTACATCACCTTACTTATCTCCTGATTGGTCTTTCTGTCCGCTCTGCCTCTTCGTTCAGCTGATATGCTAATTTTTCGACTCCGTCCTTAATTTTTGCACACCAGTGTATATACGAGGTATATCCAGAAACTAAGTTCCATTTGGTATTAAAAATAAATTGTATACAGATACAGAAAAAACATTTATTGGACAAAAATGTAAAACTCTTAAACTACCTTTCCACATAACTGCCGAAATTTTGCAGGCATGTGTCATATCGTGGCACAAGTTTTTCTATGCCTTCTTCATAGAAGGTTGCCGCCTGTGTCTTCAACCAGTTGGAAACATTTTCTTTCAGCTCTTTGTCATTGTTGAAGTGTTTATCGGCAAGGAAAGACTTGAGATGTAAGAAAAGATGAAAATCGCTAGGAGTGAGGTCAGGGCTGTACGAAGGATGACCAAACACGTCCCAGTCAAATCCTTGTAGGAGGGTTTGTCCGTAAATTCACAAATTTGCCGATAAATTTCGATTGGTTTCATTTTCTTAGCATTCAGAAAACGAATTACACTGGTTTCACTTTCTTAGCATTCAGAAAACGAATTACACATCTGATTTCGCACGCAGCGGGATTTTCAATCAACACCGATATTGTAAACAAGCACAACAAAGCGTACGTGGCTGACAGTGATCTAAAAATGACGCATGTGCTTCTTCTCCTTGATACTGAGCGTCTGTCGGGCATGCGCGGAACTGCGATCGCTGCGCTGGAGCGGATATAAATAGAAACGGAACTTAGTTTCTGGATATGCCTCGTATAAAGGAGAAAAGCGACTCACTCACTGACTGACTAATCACGATATCTCCGGAACTATTAAAACTACAGATTTGAAATTTGGTAGGTAGGTTCCCTTCATGGAGTAGACATCAGCTAAGAACGGATTTTGCAAAGATCGAACCCCAAGGGCGTTACGGGCGTTTAAGGGGCGTTATAGATAATTATTTCCATTATTAAACTATTAGATGTACAGTCTTGAAACTTGGTACACAGATTTATTTCATAAAGTAGAGATTCCCTGCATAATGATTTTTACGAAAATCGACCTCCAAGGGGCGTTGAAAAGGCGTTATAGATAATTATTTGCATTTTTAAACTATTAGACGTACAGTCTTGAAATTTGATAAGCGGCTTCCTTTCATAGAGTAGAGATCAGCTACAAAATGGGTTTTGTCAAAATCGACTACCAAGTGGCGTTATAAAAAATTAAGGGGTGTTATAGGCAATTAACTCCTTTTTAAACTATTAGACGTAAAATCTTGAAATTGAGTAAGCAGATTCCATTCATTAAGTAGAGTTCTGCTATAAGATGGGTTTTGTGAAAATCGCTTCCTAAGTGGCGATGCGGGGGCTT